TTTTTCATGATCTCTTAATTTCAATAATATTGAATCTGTTCTGCTTTCTGATATCTCTTGTCAAGTGGTTCAAATCCTCATGTCAAGGCAAAGTCATGTGCAGTCGAGGTCATTCATCGGTTGCGGATAGTGGATTAATGGTAACACGTATGTTAAGTGATGAACTATTTTGCTTGCATCAGCTTATTGCTGCCTTAATCATAGCCAACGTTGTATTGGAGAAACACATATACAAACAGAGATATTTTGCTATCGATCTTGCGTTAACCACAGAATCTTTAATACAAACGGCGAAAGGTGGTGAATCAGACAATTGAACGATACAGACGTTTCGTCCAATACATTACGAGACTTTCCCATGGTATACACGTCGATAAATTTGGATTTAAATCCAAGATGTATTCCGTTTGAACATGTTTTGCGTTTCGTATAAAATAAGCCGTTCCTAGATTATTTTTGCAAGGTGCGCGATTTATGCACTCAATTTCTGAATTAATGCGTGCCTCCAAACTCATTAAAATTTGCAGATGACTAAAACAAGGCATGACTTGATGCAGAGACTTGTGAGATACTGATCTAAACATCCGTGCCGATATGGCAATCGACTGACGACTTTATTGTGTGGTGTTTAGCAAAACTGTTGATAATGTTTTTCAGTTGCGACTACGACGTTTGCTAAGAGTAATTTTGAAGAAAAACTAAAATTCCAGCTGATTTTTCGAAACTAACTGTCAGACATATTGTTTACCTATTAAATGGGTAGGCAATCTGAAAAATAAACAATTATGGGCGGTCGAACTTGATAGCAGTGCTAAAAATTCAAAGGATTTCACGCTAGTATTCGATATCAGCTGCAAAATTTGGATATCGTATTTTACAGTTTAGTTGCTAACTTGAGCATATAAAATTTACAGTGATCGCAATGAACAAAAATTTTTAATATATTCTAATTCTGCTTATTCAGCATTTTATATCATTGTCAATCAATACGTCATGGCTTTGATCTTGGTTTTAGTGGTTTTATTGTATGTTTAAGTTTAATTTCAATTTAATCGTAGATATCTGTCATATAATCTTAAAATGAAGATTCCTTGCTGATCTTGCATTAGCAAAAAATTTCAGCACTTGACACAACGTTGTAACTGTTTATGACAGAATACTGCTTCAGTCTAGCATTTACGACACTTGATAAGTCCCGGACAATAGAATATGCCTTTTATGCTGCAGATATATTGCTCAATAGTATATATGATTCTTAAAAAGTAGATCAGGCAGAATCTAAAAACTGTCTAATGACACATTGTTTTTCATAGTGGCATAGATAGTCGTTTATTGCAAGAATCCAATCCCGTCATTTATGCCTTCGAAAGTAGTATTCCCCAATATCTTGATAACTGCAGACAATTTTTTAATATATCTTACTTGTAAGAACTGCATTGTGCTTTTTCTTTCATTCTTTGATACATTTCAGCCCATGTTCTCTTTGACATTAATCTGTTTTTTTCTTGATTTCGTTTCTCGTATCCTCTCCTTTAATTTTAAACGTTTGTGATAGCGATAAGTGAAATTAATTTTAGGTTGTAATGATCACGCAATTTTCACACAGTGAGCCGTTCTGATAGTGATTAGTATAGTATGTTCCCGTTGTATATCTATTTTGCCATTGGATACGCTTCCGCATGCTTCTTATTTCTCTGTTGGAAAATCGCTTCCTTTCACGATTCAGATTAAATAGTGCAACTTCATAAGCTCTGAATCACAGACGTCATAGTTCGTATCTTACTGACCTTCTTCAACCCAAGGCTACTGATGTTCGGTCATGCCAAATTGCAGGTTTCGAAAATCATCCATTTGACTTGTCTGCAGTTAACTTTGCATCGACCAGCAGCGGTAACGTAAACTCAATTTATATGGTTTCATGTACCTCTTGCCATCTTTGAACCCGTTGCAAATTTTCTGCTCACACGCAAACGTAATCATGAGAAGTGAAATAGTTAAAATCTTAATTTTCAGGTCACAGCCTATTTTATTCATAAGATTCGTCGTCAGTGGGCGTGTTTGAATGTTCTGTACGTCTGGGTGTGCCATTTCTTCCAGCTGTGTGAACTTGGAATCCAACGCAGCACTTATAAACAACTTTTTAGGCTAGACAGTTCAGTGAGAAACACATGTCGCATATCCGATGACAAGTCGTCAGATCAGTTTTTTGACAGACACCAGAAGTTCGTGCCTAAAAAATAGGAGTCGGAAGGGGAGATCTTACACTACAAAAAGAGTTTAAACTTGACCTGTAATCTGTCAAGCAACTCCAGAGCAAGTTTGTCTGAATTCAACAGTGGTTTAAGATCACACCTTCGTTGTCTTGTTCCAGTTAGAACGGTGTCGCGTAACGACGAGCATTCATTCGTGTCCGACTTGCGTCCGTTCGGTATTGTCACTGGTTCTTATGACCGAAATTGCACATGTTGACGATAGGACAACGCAGTCTTGATCATGCTGACTTAACATTCATTAAGTGAACTGGTACTATGCCCATCTGACAGATTCATTAGCAATATAGTGATTTAAAAATAACCAGCTTTTGTGATTCAACGGCTAGCAATAGGAAGAAACTTTTTTCATAGCGGTCCACCGCCTCGATGATAGCACCTAGATGTCATAAGTGTACAGTAATAATTTAATAATAACGCAGGAGCGTGCAAAGCAAAAGTATCAGTCGATTAGAAGCAGCAAGCAATGAATTAATTCCAACGCCCTGCATGTACCATATGAGGTCTTACATCAGTTACACACAAACATTTTGTTAGCGGACATGCATAAGATTTATTTCATGATTAGCCGTATTTTTGTACAACGATGAACTTACTATGGCACGGGCGACTAAGCAAAAGTGTTCAGCGTGGTTATTGCGAATGGTTCTCATGTGCTCGTCAATTCTGTTTGTCACTTATCTAGCATAATCGTGACAATCTACCTAGTAGACGATATTATTTTACTTCCTGCTTAGGCAACAATCAAACATTGGTTAGGAGAAACTGTCCAGAGTGCTACTCTGCAGAAAAGTACATTAAAGCTGCAACTTTCGAAAGATTGCTCACACAGAGGATGCGTAAGCTGGTCAATATGGCCTCCGTTAACAAGTAATATCAGAACGACAAAAGCACATGATGGACTCACCACTTGAGGGAGCATTACAGACGTGTTTTCTAAACTTCAGTCTCAGACTTATGCCAAGGCTTTGCAAACGTCTGTCAGAGACTGAGGGAATGTCTGTTTGAATCTTTTAATTCGTTAATTGTGAATCAATCGATGAAGTTAACGTTCATTTTGGTAGAGGAGAATTTACCCAAAATCCGTGGGGTCTGCCATGGTTAAAATGACCAGCAATTTTGAACAGACTCATTAAATTCCTTCCGATGAATCGCTGTAAACTGAACTCGGCCTGCTGGGCAGTTAATCTGAGTCACCTTAGCTCTTGCCCAGGAATGAACAAGCAATGTATGAGTAATTATTACAGCAATTACTGTACTTCTTGAACTAAAAGAATTTAACCTGTCCTGCAAGTCCATGTAGCTTTTGTTGCCATCGTCATTTAAGGCTAGAAAACTTTCGTGTCAAAGCAACTCAGATTTATGACGTCATGTCGTTAGAAATGGTATTTCAGATTATTATTGGGCAATGTTAACTTATGCGATGAGAACCATATTCCTTGCCTAAGTGGATCTGCCTCTCCGAGGGGCTACAGGTTCTGTATTGCCATCCAACTAGTCTACTGAATGTTAACTTAAGATAATCTCACTTCCGCCGAAGAAGGGTGACGCAAGGGCAAAACGAAAGGGAGTGGGTGCTTGTTTTCGAGCCTAGTGTTCGACGGAGAAATAGGCTTAATGAGGAAATTAAGTACAAAGGTGAATAACATGTTAGCTTTTTCTGGTTAATACTGGTTATATGTAGATTAAACAATTAACACAGTCCATGTAAGTCAACCAGTCGATCAACATGCTAGATGTTGAGGAGGAAGATTTTGGCTCGACGCGATAAAAAAAAGAGTCGTTATATTACCGGACTTGTAGCTTTGACAGATGCGTCTGCTTCGTTGATCAATATCGAATATAGAGTATCGAATTAAAATCACGCAGCCTCGCGTTTTGACCGATGTTAGACAAAGATTCCTTAATGCATATGCGTCATGCATAGTAGAAGTCACTAGACGTGTTTGCTAATTTTCTGTCAAATTAACTATTGAATTAATGAATCATCAGTTCAGTGGTTCTTAACTCAAGTGAAA